TAGTGTTCTACACACAACACTAACACCCGTGTCCTAGCTAATGCATTCTGAACTTATATATTGCCTAAAAACGAAAGCCAGCTAACCACCTAGTCATATAAAATCCATGTTGTTCGGTCTTCATGAAAGATGGGTGGGTGGCTAAATTTTTTGGGAAGTAAGGCAAACATCCAGAGAGATTCATTAGTGGCCTTGTACTTATGTAAGATAGTATGCTCCTAGAGCTAATGCAACTAAATTTTGATATAATTGATTTTTAATGTGATGTATGCTAGTTAAAATCTCTAAATTAGGAATGTATGAAATTTAAAAAAGACTTATAAAATATATTTTTTAGAAAAAACTAGACTTCCCCAGGTCCAGTACCTCATCCTCATAGGTTGGATTATCTGAACTCTACTTACGTGCGAGGAAGTGTCTTAAAATAAGGAGAGAGAAGATGCATTAATATGCATGTGACCCCGAACGATTCTGGCTATTCCTTAGATCATTAGTTTTTTATATTATTTAAGTCTTAAAATCTTAAATTTTAATTATGAGTAGAAAAAATTTTATGCCTATAGAGCCTAGCAAAATCAAAACACACATATATAAGAAAGAAACCTAAGAAAAGCAGACAATTTCTACGGCGCAAAACAAAGTAAACACATCAATATAAATATCCACCATAGTAAGAAAAAGTCAGAAAAAAGTCCATGACAAGTGCCATATAAGTACAACTCAGGATCTGCAGAAAAGTAATAGTAGTCAGGTCTCACCGACAACAACCTGGATTTTAATCCTACTGAATGATGCAAGTCTTAAAAACAAGACATTTTATCTTCATCTTTATATTTAAGTCCTTTTATGGATTGTCTTCCTTCATTCTTCTTTAGGGTTCGTCTTTCAGAAAGATACCCAAATGAAAAAGAAATTTCCTGTGAAGGGACTTTCTTTTTTTCCTTTAGATCCCTGATATTTGAAATGCATTATTTTTATGAACTTTCACAACTCGATACATCAAATACATTACATCATAAAAAAAAAGAGTTATACTCTCATGCAAGGTTATCCTAAGTAGTTAAAGAAAACAAAATATCCTAAGCAGTTATATATTAAATAAAAGTAATCATGCAAGCGACACTTGGTCATGCTCTTATTTATTTAGGAGCTAAATGATTGAAGCACATGTAGTAAGCATATATATAATTTATTTATTATTTTAGCCCCCTTTATTAGTGCTGCATGAGCATTGCCACCTGCAGAAGATATCATTAGTATCAAGATCGCCCCTAACCTATGGGTAATCTACCGCACATCACATCATAAAAAAATATAAAAAATAAAGTTCATTATCATAATAACAATCATAGCAAATCAAAACAACCAGCACACTTGCCACATGCAGAGCGTCACATCATAGAAGCAAAAAAGAAAAACATCGACCTAACTTAGAGCTAGAAATAGTGCCATAACAAGCAATTCTATGTGCGTGCAATAGGCCATGTGGCTGTGGATATGTCATATATTGAATAATTAGTTCAAGTTGTCTTTGTTCCGTTTTGTTAAAGGGCCAAAGGAGAACTTTTGATTAAAGTTCAAATATTAATATCTTGGGGTCAATTTTAATTGATTTAGTTTGTTGGTCAATTTTAATGCTTAGGATAATATTTTTTGAAGTTTAAGTTGAATTAACGTATTTTAGAAGGTCTGGGGTCATCCTATCCGCTAGGTCACAAGGGTTTAAAGGTGACTTTTATAAACAGATTAGATTTTAGGGTTCTAGTATTTTTATTAAATATTAGACCTTAAGGAGAGTAATTAGACTTTGAGTTTGCTGCATTTGAGTTTTTTATGCAAAGTTATGATTTTTAGAAGTTTAAGACCCCAATTATCGAACTGCTATTGACCGAAGAGTTGACTTTTTAATTTAAGTTGATTTCTGAAAAACTCATATTTTTAATAAATACTAGATTTTAATTAGAGTTGAATGCCTTTTAATTTATCCAATTTGGATTTTTCTAGGATTAATTATGATTTTGGGCATTTAATGAATTATTAAAATTGTCTAATTAGAGCATTTTAGGAATTTTGATCCAAATCAGCTTCAAAAACACTTGGAATCAACTCTAAAGGTCAGGAGTGACCCAAGGAAGAGTTCCTAAGTGTTAGACAAAAATTTGGAATTCTTAATAATTTTTAATTATTCAATTTAATTAAAAGGATGATTTTTAATCTAAATTAAATTAATGATCAAATTGAAGTCCAATCAAGGGGCTTTTAATTTTCTGAGATTAAGGGTTAATTTCTAAAGAGTTTGTATATTATTCACAATTTTTTGATTTAATTTGAATTTATTAGAATTTTTTGAAGTTATTGGGGCTCAATTAAAGGGTGAATTAGGATTTCTTAATTAAATGACTTAAAAGACCCTAAAAATTCCATGGTGTTTAAAATGTCACTAAGTTAATTCGGCGGCTAGGCCACGTGGTAGCTTTTGATTGGCCCGTTCAAACCGCGCAGCGGCTAACCAATCATTGGCAATGATTGCGCCGCCACGCAATCATCGCCTCATGATTGGAAGGACTACGGACCCCACGCGCTTTCCACTTATCTGCATCATCTCGAAGCCTCGGCCGTCCGATCTTCCGCTAACCCGAATGGACGGTTGCGATCTCGGCGAACCGAGATCTAAGTGGTCAAGAGGACCGCGCGGTTGCATAGAACCACAGTGCTGCTCGATCCGAGCCGTTGATCTGAGGATCAATAGCCCAAAAGGCGGGCAGCTCATGCATGCTTAGCTCTAAAGCCCTAAAACAATAATCGCTTCATTCTCTCGATCCATAGAATGAAATTTAACGAAATTTTAAAGACAGATAATAGTCATGAAGAGCATTCATGGGGGACCAAAATCGTGGTCTAAAACACGATGTATGAAAAGTTATTTAGATCTAAGTGTCCTAGACTAGGGTTTGCGATTTTACTTAATCCAATGGATGGATTCGAGAGATTTTGGGCTTGTTGCACTTATAGACTGTCCACGCTCCTATTTGTAGAAGAAACCGTGTTTTGAAATGCAGTGGATCGCCGGGAATTTGCTTTGGAAGATTTTAAGCCTCTGTTCGCCAGATATCTCGCCGCCGGTGAGAGGCTTTGACGGTGGGTTTGGCTTGGGAAAGATGGAAGGAGACTAAGGGAGCTCACACATGAGAAATCTCGGCTTGGGAGAGTCTAAGGTGAGAGCAAAAGCAAAAGTCCTTTTCAAGATGCCCTAACAAGCCTATTTATAGACCTAAGCTCATGATGGACGGCCTAGATCAATCCTAGGATTAATTAGGAGGGAAAAGAGCCTCCTTGGACGGGATTTGAGCCAATGGAAGATTGTGAAGGTTTAAATTGCAATAAATAGGGTGAATTTGACCTAACTAGGTCAAATTAGTTAGGTCAAATTCGACCATACAAGGCTAGGGTTGACCAAATCATGGGTTGACCCAATCAACATGGTCAATTAGACCCAAGTAGGTGGGGGATTGAGCCAAGTATGGTTTAGAATTAATTTAAATCAAGATAGAGGCTATCTGGGCTAGTTTGGTCAACCTGGGTTGACCCAAGACCTGGGTCTGAGCTCCACAGATCTGTTTTGACCCACTGAACTTAATGGAAGAGGTCTTGGGGTCTGGCTTGGTCAATTTGCCCAAGTCAAACCCCTTGACCTAGGGTGCAGGTGAAAACAAGGTCAACAGTCCCTAGATCTCATTCCATTTCCTCCATGTGTTATTGCTAGAGTAGATACATATCTGGGAGGTGATGGTGTAAACCCTATTATTTCTACTCCACCAATCACCACCAACATTCGGACGTTCCTCTTTAGCGCTGAATGATGCTATGGGTAACATTGTGTTTGAAGCAATCATGGTCGGCCTGCTTCTCAATGGCCCTATGTGGTGGTGAACCCAAAATTAGAGTTTCTTCTTACTCGACTGCTATAGTTGTGGATGGCTTAGGCTTTGTATAAGATTCTATTAATGTAGAGCACATAATCTAGGAAGTTCGGCAGAGATAGGTAGTTCCAACTCTTAGGCTAACTCTGATTCCATAGATTAAAACAAACAATTTATCTAACTATGCTTTGATTAAGTGGGTTGTTCCGGCTCATAGGAAGTGTTATGGAATACACAACATCATAAATTTGCCATAAATCAAATTATCAGAAAAACAACACTGATTTATGACTTTCTTTTATGATTCAATTATAATGAAATATATTGAGTTTAATTTTTTTATTTCAAAATATTAATTTTTTTTTATTTTTATATTAATTTTATTGAAATTATTCCTTTCAAGAAAAAAGTCAAAACAAAATTATTTAATATAAAAATTCATCACACTGCACAAACTTCATGATCTCAATCCACTCCTGTTATATGCGAATTCAGTTGACTGCTACAAGTGAGGAAACAAGATAAATAGGAAATTAAATTTTGCAAAAAAACTCAATATATCTAAACACCCTTAATTTTATTCTCATCTATTACCTTTTTTCAATTTCTATCAATTTTGATTGCATGACTATTTCAGTTCATATGTAAATAAATTATAAGTATGTGATGCCGGCACCCATTTTTTATGGGACTAACAACTAATGTTTTACAATTGCCATAGTTCAAAAGAATGCACAATAATGTTGCTCTTTTATATATTAGGCACCAAAGAAAACAATAGATGTTATTAGTAATCTAGAACTAACCTTAATGCCATACTTATTGCAAATACTTTCAGCAAGGAGAAGGGTATATGCTGAATGCTTGTCAGCTTCGGATGGATCTGTGCAAATAACAAGTCATTTGAAGATCTTTTTGATGGAAATGAGTTCTAATAGGCATACCTCTGGCTAACCATGCTCTATCAGATATTACCACAACTGATAATGGAATATCTTTTGAATCCTTGAATGCATTCCTGATGCTCAAAATAGCTTCCTTCAATGTTTCATAGTTCATGGGACTCCCAACCTGCAATAAATGTTTATTACTATATCAGTCTGGAGGGGGGTGTTGGATTGAAGTGGGCCAACGAGAATGGAGGTATTATACCCTATGATGAACTTTAATATTTTTCAATTGACTAGGTACCGTAGTATCTACTGTTCTGCTCCTTTCACTGATGGTAGCCTCGGAGAGGATTTCCTGCATGATTTATGATTTTTTTTTAAATATTGGCCGCATCGGTTTAACATGCCGCAACTTAAAACTTGAGTTCGAAATTCCACTCAAATAAATCTAGCATACATATGCCAAAATTTGTGTGCTTTGGTCTATATTGGTGTGAGCAACATATCACAGCCAAGTTTTTAAGAAACTATCTGTACATTCAAACTAAATGGCCTGCTTCTCATTTGAAATTTTAAAGATAATATCTTAAATAATGCAATAGTGTTCTTTTTACCAGGGTCGTATGTAATCTGATCTGAAATCAAGTTTGTTCAGTATTACTGCTGAGATCTCAAGTACAGTTCTTCAATTTTCATCTTAGCTAAAATCCAATCCATTTTTTGATCAACCGATTACATATATATGAATGTATGCATGAGGAAAATGCATGCAAAACGACATGCATCCATACATTGCATATGCACGCACCCAGGTATACGTTCCAGTGCACACGCATATTTATATAGTTAGATTACTATCCTTATGCAAGGATAGAAGCTTTTTTCCTCAGTCCTCACACGTATTGTACAGTCCATCCCATCTTAAAATGGCTAAAATTTAAAGCAACTCACCTTTTGCAATTCCTTATGTTATATTTTATTAGACAGATGGACTTCAAATCTTAGTTATTCAAAGAAATGGATGAATGACATGAGATGTGTGAAGAGCTCTTGCATTTGGAAAAAAAGCTTTATTTATTTATTTATTTAGGGGGGGGGTATTTATTTATTTGGGGGGGGGGGGGCGCTGGGGTGGGGTAGGGAGTTGACCTACTATCTTTTTCGAATATAGAAGCTCTTGCTCTTCTATGTAAGCTTAATATCTCATCTCTTCTTATCAACCAGAATAGCCTTATTCCCATGAGTAAAATCTATCCAAAAATAAATATGGGAAACAATGTTGAGCCAGATGATTCTTTCCTCTCTTTAATTGCTGGAGAAAAATCTATAACTTCTCTCCCTCTAAATATTCTATGCGGCTGAAATATCCCATAAAGAGTCTGTCTTGATAAAGGAAGTTCTTCACCAACCAATTTTGGTTCTAGGGAGAAGTGAGAAGATGAGGATATAGAGTTGCAAGAAACTTATCGTGAATCCATTTGTCCTTAAAAAATTTAACACTACCACTATTTTAAATGTTTAAAGAAAACTAAAGAAAAAAATAAAAAACTTTTCTAACCCATCAAGAGGAGATGGGACACTTGTATACTTGCTTTTGATAATAGAACAAACAAAGGAATAAGAATCCTTGCTTTTGATAATAGAACTAGCAAAGGAATAAGAATCCACCTGAACAGATCTACAAATCTATTTGGAGAGAAGGGAGGCGTTCATAGTTCCGAAATCTTTAATGCCAAGCCATCCATTTTTTTGGGTCTGCAAGCATGCATCCGCCCTTTCATCAATACATGCATATATTCACGCACACATACATTTATACATGAATAGATCCATGCATTCAAGCATACATCTATTGAACAACATGATTACATACAAAAACAAAACAATGCATACATCCATCCAGGTGTACATGCGTCCAGACATCTACAATTTGCATAAATATGTAAAGCGTGTTCTACAGCGAATTCAATGTGATCCAGCTCAAACTTATCCTGAGCTCAATCTTAGAAGGCATACCTTATTACTGAGGTAATTCATTTAGATACAAACCTAATTGAATAAATATGCATGCATGGCAAAAAGATTCCAGCTGGTGCAAACTGAAGTAGTGTGGTAAATTAAAGTGCAAGCCCAAAATAGAGCAAGCCAAGAGTGATGCAAGAGGAAATCTATGTAAAAGCTTTGTTTTCTACAGAATAATTCAGAAACAAGTTAAAACTAAACTGATAAGTATATCATACGGGAAGATATCATTCAATGCGGCTGAGTATTCATAACCATGAGCTATCATTTGGGAAATCATTCTGTATCTATTTAATATAGTTAATCTATAGCTTTCTTGTTGCAAGGAAAAATACCACTATACTACCAGGCCCAAGATAACTATCGTATTCCTTGATCATGTCATAAGCATTTGGTCTCCATCCAACCATAAGGATGCATTCTTTGGGTCCATGATTCCAATCACTTGCCTGGAGAAAGATAGAAAGTTTCAGCAGAAGATATAATGAAAGTTTGTTGGAAAGAAAATTATAAATCAAACTGCACCTTGGACGTTGATTTTGAAGGTCGCTTTACAATCCTGTCAAAGCGTGCTTTCCTCAAGTCTAGTAACATAGATGAGCTTCCATCCTCTGCAACCTTCCCATCTCCAGAAGCAGCAGACTCCACAGAAGTCGTTTGAGGGAGCAAAATTTGTGGTTTTTGTTTCACATAAACAGGTGCTATGAGCAAAATCTACAAAACAAAGAAAATCATAACTATAAACACATCAACTTGTTAAAGCCAATAAGTATAAGATAAACACACTACAACATAAGGGAGGTGGCTCTTGCTAGTTGGTGGATGAGAGTACTTGTTATATCCTGATTTTTTCTTTGTTTAGTTTGATAACTATGAGATTTATTTATTTATTATAAGAGATTTTGGAGAAAAATCCAATCAACTCTAAGAATTAGAACAAAATAGCATCCTTTGTGGGCTCCAAAAATTCATGCCTAGGGCTACAAACGAACCGAGCGTTCGACGAGCTGCTTGTGGCTCGGCTCGATAAGGGCTTGTTCATGTTCATTTGATAAGGTAAACAAACGAGATTGAACACACTTGATAAATACTCGATAGCTAAATGAACGACCTTGAACAACATGTTGTTTGGTTCATTTATGTTCACGAACAGCCTCGTTTAGAAGCTCGATTAGAGCTCAATTAGAGTTTTAAAAATAAATACTATTTAATCTACTAATTTAATATTTTATTTTTACTAATTTAATATTTTTAAATCTTTCCTCTCCATTAAATCTTTTATTTTATTAATTTTTTATTCTCCCGCCTCAATTCCCGCCCTCTCTCTCTCTATATATATATTTTGCATTTTTTAAACTCCCGCCTGCTCCCTCTCTCCTCCGTGGCATCACCAAATTAAAAAAAAAAATTGTATGCGGTTTAGTCCCACATATGCTTTATAAAAACAAACTCATCTGGCGTCTTGATGAAAAGCGGGCAGCTAGCGAGGTGCCGGGTGGGTTATCTGGGTGGATGTAAAACGAGTTCCTCGATTTGTTTAACGAGCTGCTCGACAAGCAGCTTGACAAACGAGCTTGAATTCGAACTCGAACCTTTCTCGAACGTGCTTTTTTTAAATGAGCTTGTGCTCAAACATGTGTCCAAGAAGCTCGATGAGCTTTGAGCTGAGCTTGAGTTCGATTCTGACAAACGAGCTCGAACTCGAGCAGGCCAAAGCTCGGATCGACTCAGTTCGTTTGCAGCCCTATTCATGCCCAATCCTCTTGCTAGGAGAGTTTAGATGATACTCCGAGTTAAAATTTAAAAAGCAAAATTAGAGTTAAAAGATAAGAGGTTACTCATAAATTTTCCCCTAATTTTGGAAAGCTTTATGATACAATTCCAAGATTCCCATAAGCGCAAGCCTCTATGATTACTTATCCCTTCCGGTAATAAGAGAGAACTTTCGATTAAGACTAGTCATTACATATATAATGAGTATCGAGCATATGGTAGTAGCAAATTTAGTATTGGAATCTATGTTGACCTCCACACATTCACCAAATTAGTGCGAGCGAAGACGATGATGGACAAGCTCGACTTTTGGCAAGCGGAACGCTTCACTTAAGTGCTCAAATGGATTCCGATCGCCGAACGGATCACGCCTGTGCAATCTAAGCATCAAATTTAGCTATGGGAGGACCCCTTGCAATTGGATTGAAAGAAGGTGGTCGAAATCAATAATATACAGGCACAACGACGCGCGACGTTTGCCTGAATGACGTTCGTTCGCAAAACGAACTCCGTTGTTGCGTCCAGAACATCGAAAATACATAAAAATGACTACCATATTGCATGGGTCATTCGAGCGAGCGAAATTGTGAATTTTGCATTAGTTTCAAAGAGACGATAACACGAATTTCGAGGCAACAACCGAACGAATAACGAGAAATTTCCTGGGGGATTAATTTGTTTCTATAATTGTCATTTGAATATATATATATAAGTTTTGTTAAACCCAAATATTCCCCGAATTTCCACTGAAATCCCTAACAATTTTTTATAAATTTTGTTGAATTTAGCTTTAAGTGAATAATACATATTTCACTTCTCATAAATTATACTATAAAATTTTGAATCTCTGATATGGTAGACAACATAATTTTACTTATTCTTAACTCCATTGCATTCTGAGTTGTTGGGTATGCTACCTACGAAACTAGGGCGTGACAAGCATGACGTAAAGAAGTGTTCCACTAAAGTTAAAGGGAAAAAGCATCAAGTATATTGCTGATTACACGTTCAACAAACAGTTACGCCGTAGGGTACCTATGCCTCTCCAACTGGTTTTCAGAATAATATTTATAGAAGAATAGGATAGTGTTCTTACTTTATCAGTCTCTCTGATTTCTTCTTCATCACTTGGGTGGAAATTTACTTTCCCAGACCTAAAGAGACCACAAACAACTCCCTGAGTGAAAAACAAAAAAAAACGAATGACACTACCATCAAATAAATGATAACAATAGAAATAACTAAACTTTACATGTTTTTTTACCTCCTTAACTCCGCGTCTAACATGCTTATACTGCAGTCCAACTAAATTTGACAAAGTGCAGAGATTGAATACATTTTCTGTAATGAAGTAGATGAATTAACTATAAACCTTACCTTGCAAGTAACAATATATTTTGAAGGTATACAAGGGTAAATAAATCAAGAAATAAAGTTATGAGAGTCAATATATATATATGTTCCGCCCTTGTTTATATTACAGCTGTCATATAGATAAGCATCCAGTACAGTGGATATATCTCATTCCATAGATTAAAGATGAACATAACCTATGATGTAGCAGAAATTCTGGCTTTAGCCTTAAACCCACATTAATTCTCCATATTTTAAACTAAGTGCAACATATCCGAAGTTGATGGAGATATAGTATGCAATTAATTGCAATCCAAGTTCATAAATGTGTAAAAGTATCAGTTAGTCTTTGTATAACAACTTATGCATATAAACATTAATGATATCTTGATGATTCTCTTCTGGAAAGCATGGAAACATACCTCTTACATAGTACAGGCAAAGGAGGGAAGGAAGATTGGAATTGGGAGGAAAAGGGAAGGATGACTTTAGGAGAAAAGTTTCGTATATCTCACTTTTTTTTTAAGGCTCTCAAATAAGAAAGGGATGAATTATAAAACAAAATAACCATGTAATAGGAATAGCATGTCTTAGCATTTACTTGATAACCGCTATACTTATCTACATAATGACAAATAAATCCTAAAATAGACTGAGACATAAATACCCATAACAAATAAAAGAAGGTCAACATTACCATAAGATATTTACAAGCTAATTTCTATATAATTGGATAACCAGCGGGATAACGAAGGAAACAATGAATGACTCAATGAATTCTATCAACTCTGCTGGTGCAAGAAGAAACTCTCCTTTTAAAAGTGTAAATCTTGGCGCTCTAGAATCTTGGGAAAGTGAAAAAACACTCTTCAAACATCATCCATATAACACCTCATTGTGGTTTTCCACGCCAACAAATCAGATTTCAATGAAAACTAGATGGTCAACAATAATCTCAACAATCACAATCAGATCAATCTCATGTTAAGAATTGATGGAAGGACAAACACAGGCATAGCTATACAACAACAACCACAAGCCTTTGTCCCACTACGTGGGATCGGCTACATGAATCCTCTTTCGCCATTGTGTCCAGTTAAAAGTCAAATTCTCATTTAAATCTAATAAAGAAAGATCATTTCAAATATTTTCTAACCAAGTCTTTTTAGGCCTACCTCTACCTTTCTTAACATAGGCCAAATCTAAAACATCAACTTTCCTAACCAGGTCATCGGAAGGCCTTTGTTTAATGTGACCAAACGGAAGTAAAAACACAGGCATAGCTATAGTGGAAGTAAAAACCACATTCAAGGAAACAAGTGCAGGTGATTGTGGAGGTTCAAATGCACCTTGACAGAGCATTAGTTTTCACATTAAAAGTAGGATTGATATAAATATTAGATAAGTACCAAGCAAGAAAGCACTAGATACTAGCATCCTACTGATTTATAAGGTCCAGAGGCTCTAGTTAGTATTTATTTTATAGGTAGAGTGCAATAAACAAGCAATATAGATATAAATTAAGACATTATGCACATATGATAGTTGCAAGCATCATGAGGAACAACCATTATAGCTTTCAAACTTTCATTATGCGTGGAAAATTCATTTTATAGTCCGCAATGCAATTTATGAGTATGGTCAATAATGAATACAGAACAATATCATGCATGCTTTTATAATGAAATGAAGTCTAACAATTGTTTCATATATAAGCCGTAAACTTATCTTAGTTGTCTATCTAATCAATTTCTTAAGGGCTAACTAATTCAGGAAACTGATATATAAATAAGGTTGAATGATATATAAACATCAAGTTGAATGATATATAAATAAGGGTTTTCATTAAGCAGTTTCTACGATTAACTAATAGCCACAACAAGTATAAGCTGTTTAGAATAAAATTCAAACTCATTCAATGCTAGTTTTAGATTCATCTTTTAATCAAAATTTTGTCTGCCAATAAAAAGAGTATAACATCAAACAATTGCAAAAATTTATAGTTGAATAAGAATCAAAATGCATCATAAGATAACAACAAAGCAAGAGATCATAAGATAACAACAAAGCAAGCGACTATATAATGAAAGAAGAAAACCCCAATAACTCATTTAAAATATCTTGATTGAAGTCTGATAAACTTTGGAGAGTATCAATATATTTTATTTATATTTCTAGCCCCCCTAAACTAGGTGAATTGAATTTTTTTTCTCCACTTGTTCATCTTTCCCACAAAAGCTTGTCACTTAGTATTTCTAAACAAAGGATGGATACTTTACCCACTTTGTTAATTAATTATAATTTTATGTTATATTATATTTTATATACATAGAAAGAGAGAGAGTAAAGGATCTAATAGGGGACCCAACTTCTTTCAAAGGATCAAAAATAATGCTCAACTATATCAAATTTGGTCCTGGACTCTCTAAATAAAAACACAGTTAGTTCTTTTGTGGGATCATTTAAGTCCCTATTTAAAAGGTTAAGGAACTAACATGAGACTTCTCAATAGTCAGGGACCATGTTGTTTCTTTGTAAAGAATCAGGGACCATTTTGATTTTTACCTCACACACACTCTCTCTCTCTCTTTCTATATATATTATTGATTTTATTATTATTATTTTTTACTCCGTATTTTTTATGTGTTCATAGTATGTGTGCACGTGTAAGCTCCTCGTGACTCCTCTCCTTGCTTTGCTTCACATCAATCAATTTTTGTGCTGCCACTCAAAATGTAAATATAGGCGGGTTTACTTGGACTATTTCTAAATATTGAACGCATCAATATGGTGCATTTGGTTAAATAAGCAACAGATTCATGACATTTTTAGCTGATTATTTATTGAATTATGCAAGCTTGTCTTTTTTGTTCTCATGTTTGACTATTCGTCTTATGGATCAAACATGTAGGTCAATAAATGATAAGATTAATGGGTTTTGGTTCTATATTCTCATAGATGACATGTGTTCCTGATTTCTTCAGTGGGAATAAAACACTTTGAAGGAAAAAATATAATTTCCAACAGCTATATGTTAAACCTATATCGTGATGATAATGCTAGCATTTTCTAGAACAGAGCCTGTGGGGGTACATCATCTCATAGACTCAAAAGAAATAGTTGCACTTCTTTTGACGAGTTGATATAACAATGAATGAGACGATTTGGATAAAGATGAAGATAGTTAATGAAAGGAGGAGGTAAATTTCCTGAAAATAAATTTTTATGTTTGAAGCATTGGGTAAGTTACGTCTAGGACGTGATAAATTTTCTCAGAGGAAATAGATTTCCTGAAAGCGCAGGAAGCATAACATTAAAAAAAAATTCACATACTATATTTTATTTTTATGCCTAAAAACACTTTTCAATCTGTGATAGAGGCTTCCTCTTACAAATGCATAAATTTCAAGGCAAAAAGAGATTCAACAGATGTTTTTAACGCATCCATCATACAACTTCTACAAGGAGTTCCTCATAGGAATTCTGCTTATAAATAATTTATATTAAGAATGTAAATATACCTTTTTGAATAAGAATCATCTTCTGTTCTTAAATTATCTCTTCTCCATAAGTAAATTGCTTCCCTATTTTGATATATCAATCAAAATTACCAGCTCAATTATTCAAGTAAACATGGAGAATTGCTTATAAGGTATTTTCCCTCATCATCAACTAATAAGTGAAGAGGGAGGATTTGCAGCATTGGCTAAGCTATCACTATTGTAATCTGGAGGTACCAAGTTCAAGACATGGAAATAACCTTTTTTGCAAATGCAGTTGAAATGTTGTGTACATGAACCCCTCCCCAAACACTATATTAGCAAGAGCACCATCCATTGTGCATGCCTTATTTATTTTTTTTACTTACTAATTAGTGAAAATTCAATTGAAGACCAAAAGTTATAAATGGCACTTATATCTTGCTAATTCATGAGAACAATTTCAGCTCGCTATACCTCACTAAAAGCTATTGGCAGCTCCCATTAGCCTCTCAATATACCAAAGGGTACACATATCCTAGTTTTGAGTAACATGTTCATGAGATCCTAGAGCACAATTCCTATTAAAAAGGATAATTCTTTGATAATTTCTTAGAATCCTCACAAGAGGATAAATGAGATGAAGATTTTCCGCCAAAATGGGTCACCAGGTTGAATTTGTGGTCAGTGAAAGTAACTGCAAGATATTATTGATCTCAGAACTAGTTTTTTTTTTTTTTTTTTTGAGGATATCTCCGGTTCATAGACGTTGCAACAAAACAATTTGAGACAAGATTTAAAACCACTTGATCTAAGGTTTCACATGGCTAACTTGATGATTGCTAGTATATTCTTATATATCAGAGTCTTAATTCTATTTTAGTTGTATGGGAGGTTCCGTCATTTTTTTATTTCACCTATCATCCATTGAGTTAACATCATATAAATATCAAATCAAGAAAATAAATGATAGAAATCTAGCGTAAACAAAAATAGTCAGCATGTTAGGAATAGTACTACGATAATTAAGAAGATGTCGATAAATTTTCAAGAGCTCCTTCTGCCGTGAGCATTGAACAAACAGTTTGGATGCAACCATTTCCACTGGCTCAACATTTACACCTGTGATTGATTTCAAAAGATCACATGTGCCAGAATTTGAGGCCTGCAGCAGTTTGAGATGAAAGAATTTTCAAGAATGTTAAAATTGTGGAACTATAACCAAAAGAAAATGCTAAATGCAAATATTTTGCAGGGCATTTTCCTAGAAATAATGATAAATCGTTTATTGGGCATCTTTTTTTTTTTTTGAGGCAACAACAAATCCGCAAGAGAAAAATATAAAATTATAGCCAATTTCATCCTCAGAGCGTAATAGGCATTTCTTCTCGCACACGATGCTAATTCATGAGAACAATCCTCAGCTCTCTATACCTGGCTGGAGCTAATGACAACCAACAGAATCACAATCAAAGAATGATCAAGGCATCTCAATTCAAGTTCAACTTGCATAAATTTAGAAAAAAATATTGGGGCCCCAACATATTATGAAAGCCTAAACATGAGAAAAAAATAATCAAATGACTCTCCTTAGAAAATAAATAAGAAGAATTACGAGTACAAAACTTAAAACTTTGCTATTTATAAAGTTTTCATCCACCCAAAAAAATGAATTAACAAAGTGCTTTTGCGTGCCACAACTAAGGCTTCGTTTGGGACGGCTTTTTTATTGCTTTCTAAAACGGAGTTTTAGTTAAAAATTAAAAAAAAAATTTGTACTAAAACTCTGTTTTGGAAAGCAATAAAAAAGCCGTCCCAAACAAAGCCTAAATTATTGAGAATTGAATAATGAAAATAACACAAGTTGGTATCTTGTTGTTTTCTTTGACATGTAGGTGATATTAATGTAAATGGAAGTAGTTCAGTGAAAATAGTTATTTTGGACTGCAAACTAAGCCACCAGAAGATTGGGATTCTGTCCAGCTCCTCTCCTGTTGGCGGTGGATCCCTCCCTTGAGGTTCTAATAGGTTGAGTATCCCTTGATCATCTCTTCAAGATCATTCTTGTGCTCAGGAGTTGATTTTTCCTATTTCAAATGTTCGGAGTATGAGTATTTTGCATGTGATTATAGCATTGAAACTCATTTTCATTATTAGGAAGGCCAAATTTGTAATATCCCGAACTCGAATGTGCCGCTTGCGTCGGTTGGAGTAGCAAAAGATGGAGTCATTTTTTCACTTGGTGTTGGGGTAGATGGAACGAGGAGTCCAACCGACCAGGTCGATTCGAACTCCTAGAGACACAAAGGAGGCGAATGCGGGGAACCGTGAACGGGAGGCGAAGGGTTCGTTACTAGAAGACTAACAACCAACCGTCAGTCTATTCTCACACAAATAGGCAAAGAGTTGTGTTAGTTCCTCTCCTTAACATCACAAGGGACAACGAAGGTGAAGGGTTCACCTCGAAGAGTCGTTGAAGGGGAGTTCCATCTCCTTTAAAGCACCTAAGGATGCAAGAGCTAGAGAGGGATCGAGAAATAAAGATAGTCATAGTAGAATGATTAAGAGGTTGTTTGGTTGGATAAAAAAGAAATGCAGTTTAAAAAATAATGCAGTGTAAAAAGAATACTTTTAAAGCCTAAAGATGGTGACAGCCGGAGGTGACGGTGGCGGTGGTTATCGATGGCGACCGGCAATGGTGGTGTTCGGCGATGAGCAGCAGCCGGCGGTGGATGGAGATGGTGGCCAGCGGCGGATGACGGAGATGGTGGCCAGCGGCGGATGACGGAGATGGTGGCCGACGGCGGTGGTTGTTACCGGCGGTGGGAGGGGGAGGCGGCAGGTGGTGACGTCTAGCGGTGGTGGGCGGCGGCGACAATGAGTTGTGGCAGTCAAGCAAGCTTGTTTGATGTGTAAATAGTTCTCGCCAAAATTGGGCAAGTTTAGATTACTTTAAAAATAAATCATAATGGTTTATAGTTCATTTTCCTTTGCTTTGCAATCCTTTTTCATCCAACCAAACACCAATATTTTTAAAACTCCAGCATTTGAAATACTTTACAACCATTTTACTTCGAACCAAATAGCCCCTAAGAAAAAATGGAGGATGATGAAGTCATCCATGAGGGCATCAAAGATGGGTATGAGCGCAGGAACTGTAGCAATAAGGCGAAATCCATTAATTATTTTAGTTATTAGGATTTTAATTGGGAGGAGAAAAATAACCGGGTCATCGCAAGGCCGCCGTTTTATGTGACCAAACCATCTAAGGCGACTCTCTCTAATCTTATCTTCTACTGGAGCTTTACAAGTTAAGAATAATTTATATAGGAAAATAAAAGCTGTTTGGTTGGCTATAAAGTGAATATAAAATATATTAATTGATGTTAACTATTTTTATAGAAAACAAGAATTATTTAGGAGCTGTTTGGTTTATTGTAAAGTGAATGTAATGCAAAATAAATGCATTTTAAAGAAAATATTTTGAGCATGTTTGGTTGGTTGTAAAGTGAGAACAAGGAGCTATTTTTTTCTATTTGGTTCGATGAATGCAAAGTTAAGTAAAATCACTTGAATCAAAATGGAGTGTACTCGCGGCCGCTGGGACGAACAAGGAAGAAGCGGATGCAGTGGTTGTTGTCTGAATCAATGCAGAGATCGACAAATGAGGGAATCGCTCGATGGTCAGGCGAAGCAGGATCTTCCTGCATGCGAAGTCGAAAGGCAACGAAATAACGGATTGGGCTATCCGTGCATGCGGAGGGATCGAGAGCAGAGGTCAAGCGACCGAGCGGAACTCCGTGTGCATGCGATCCATCCGACGAGCCTCCTACGTATCCCAAGCTAGACGATCTGACAAAGGCGACGCCACCTAATCGTGCTTCGTGCGTGTGTGGAGGAATCAAACAGAGCAAGACTTTCTGTGTGTGGCATCCAGGAAGATCGAGTGGCTTCTCGCATGCGAGCTTGGGCTAGACAAAGTGCAAGTATAGTTGGAAGAATCCAGTACACAACTCTGCCTCACACGAAGCAGAAATTTACTTTACCCTCAAAATGGAAGAGCTCCTGTACAGAACTCTGCATCTAGTATTCCCGTGGGCTGCTCGCTCTCTTGCCGCATAATTTATTTTTTGCTCGAATCTAGCAAGTTTACTTTACCCACAAAATGAACTAAGACAGTGAATTCCAAATACAATGGGAATTTATTTTGCATTACTCAAGTGTCCAACCAAACACCAAAAAGTGAAAAAGTCAAGTATACATAATGCTTTGCATTTACTTTTCCTCCAACCAAACAATCCCTTAGATACATTCTATAGTGAATTATATATACAAATTAGGATAATAAAGATGTGTAATTATGCATGATTATAGGTGATTAATTATCATAGTCGAAGCAAGAAATTTAGTGGATCAGCAAGCTATATAGAATCATGATGAGTACTCACATTTTTATTTTATGGTAATAATGTTACTTCTTGTAAGCCATTTCATTAAATCCAATTTGATTAATTGTTGAATGATATATGAATGAAACGATTAGATAAAAATACTTACATGTGCATGTTTACTGATATAGTACACCCCCTTACGATTATGGTTGGGGGACAAGCCTTTGAGTCTAGTCGTCAATACAGTCTGACTGTTTGTTCCTGCCTCATTAATTCGAATCTCCAAGTTTTATTGTGAATACAACAACAATAACATCAAGCCTTCGATCCAGGTCGTGAATAATTTTCATCAATCTCTAAATTTCCCCCAAATAATTAATCGTTCTTATGACTTTTTCACTATGAATCATATTCCTAAGATAATCATTAGTCTTTGAGACCACTTTTGTAACGACCTAACACAAATGTTTAAATTAATAAGGGAACAGACGATTGGATGGTTATTCAAAATTTCACTCACTAAAATTTTTAACTATTTTCAATTTACTAAAAGAGCCACTAAAACTTTTACAATTGTTTCAAACAAATACTTCTCTTTTGGAACGTCATGACTAACACAAATGTTTTTTTCCTCTTTTATTCATTTAAATTCTTCGAATAACACTTGTATGCATTTGCAAATAATAGGGTGAGTCATACCACAACTCAATGACTATATCATACTTCAAAACTATAATAACACTATAATATTTGAAACAATATGCATGTTTGTTATAAAATAGAAACTTTATTTAAAATCCGTTTTTAAAAGATCATAAATAATATATTATGCACAAATCATGTCTAATTATTTTTTGTAACTAATACAACTGTCACATAAGATACCATTTAAATAGTATCAATTAAAATAATTCTATTTTCATTTTTATTTCTAAGTAATTAAATTCTCATTGTCATATAAATACTAGTACAAATATATATTCATTGATGCATCATTAGCAAATTTGCTAAGTTGTTAGAGCAAAGAAGCAAATCTTACGAGACACCGTCTAAATAGTACTAATTAAGGTACTTCAATTATCATTTCCTTTTCAAATATGTTTCCATTTCATCGCGGGTGCATTCACATGAGTACATTGCATTCCCAACTAATAATCATAAGAGTATGTACTCTATTAGTCAACACACACATACAAATATTCTATATAAATTATTTATTTGTGTTTCTCTATATCATTTCATAAAATTATTTAAAAGCTTGATGTTATTGTTGTATTTCATATCATTATTTCATAAATATTATGATTGTAATATGAAAGAAATACAAATCATTCAATTCAATATGAGCAATTGTCTATAATAAAGATAAATCATGATTAATGTGTAAATATCAATAATAAATATTGCATCAGATTTAAAAGAATAAATCTCAATATCATAAAAATAAACAAAAGAACTCACCTAAAATTTCAAATATTTGATACTTCATTCTCTTACCCCTTATTCTAAACATCCATAAATTTATCACATATATATAAGATTTTCTTATCATCAAAATTTTTAATTGTGAATCACTCATAAATTTTCTAGCTCGAATATTAAAATTTTTCTTTCAAAAATAATTATTACTTAATATAATAATAATTTAATTTACTAATTTAATTCTCATATATTTTTAAATTTTAATATATATATAATCATCTAATAATGATTATACACTATTAAGATAGCATTCTTTTATTATGAATTTTTAAATTACAAAATTAATAACTTTTTCAATTAATAAATTATTTTTTTGATAAAATATAGTTTCATCTTCTAGCATATATTGATAATATTTAATTAAACCTTCAGCTTTCTTTTATATATATATATACTTTCCTTTAAAATCTAACTCATAATCGAGGGTTTAGATTATAAATGATCTAAAAAGAAAACTCACCTTCATATACATCCAACCTCTTCAGCCTTTGTGAGTGTACCAGCTCACTTTCAATGTCCCTCTCTCTTGCTCTCACACGTCACACGAGCCCAGCTTCAAATCCTCTCAGCCATGCACATGATGGCAGCAATCGGTCTACCTCTACTTGGCAGCTCACTCACAGGAATTACCACTCGTGCTCTCTCTCCAATCTCCCTTTCTCGATTTAAAGAGATGAAACTTTTCATCTTCCGCATAGTAATTAGATGAATATATATATATATAGAGAGAGAGAGAGGGAGCATATTTTCAAAATTAAAAAATATACGAGAATTTAA